GATAGATAAGGATCATTATATATATATATATATATATATATATATATTATTCGGACGTAATTTGGTTATTGTATTTCGTAATTTTCCCAAAGAAAAAAAATACTGGGTCCTCAGTAATTACTTTTATAATTATGGCAGAAAACACGATCCAGGATAATTATTTGATAATATAATTCAGTTTTTATGAGGCAATGCATACCCAATGCTTTATAGATGATCATTCTAAGGACCAAATCACATACCCAGCATCGGTGACAGAGGATGAGATAATTTAGATGAAGGAGAGGTATAAAAAAATGATCATATTCAAATTAAAAATAATCACTTCAAATCCTTCTGTTAAGAAATAGGAGTGTTAAGATTCGCATACCATCATTCATCGTCGTCCTCTAAGCAGAAATAGCCCTCCTCCAACCCCCCCCCTCCCTCCCTCCTCCCTCCTCCTCTCCCTCCCTCCCTCCCTTCCCTCCTCTCCCCTCTCCCTCCCGGTCCCTCCCCCTTCCCCCTCCCCCCTCTCCTCCCTCCTCCCTTCCCCCCTCTCCCCGGTCCCTCCCCTCCCCCCCTTCCTCCTCCCTCCCCTTCCCCTTCCCCCTCCTCCCTTTCCCTCCGCTCCCCCCTTTCCCCCCTCCTCCCCCCCTTTCCCCGCCTTCCCCTCACCTCCCCTCCCATCACCTCTCCTGTTCCCTCCCTCCCCCCTCCCTTCACCTCTCCTCTCCTATTCCCTCTCCTCCACCTCCTCCCTGCATGACCTCAGTGAACGGTTGACCAGCTGCGTTCCTCTGTCGCAAGCAGTCCAGGCTTAATTGAAATATTTTGGTGCTCTTGGATTCACGGATGGACGGGCCAGGATCGTGGAGTTGGTTAACCTATTGGTGTAATTGACGGGGTTGGGATGGAGTGTTTGGATGCAGGGGGATGGATTGGGCTGTTGATGTGATTGTGTTGTTGATGTTGATGGGTTGTTAGGTGATTGGTTGTTGATGTGATTGGTTGTTGGTGATTGGTGTTGATGTGATTGGTTGTTGGGTGATTGTTTGGTTAGGTGATTGGTTGTTGGTGATTGGTTATTGATTGATTGGCTTTTGGGTGATTGATCAGATTGTTTGGCGTATTTTTCGGATGTTGTTGTCATTATTATTATTATTATTATTTTGTTATTGCAGTTAATGATTTCTTGTTGTTATTCATAGTATTATCGTCATTATTATTATGGCTATTACTGTTATTGTTATTATTATCATTATCAATGTTGTTACCATTATCATTATCATTAATAATGCTATTATTATTATATCATCATCATCATCACCATCATCATCATCATCACCATCACCATCATCATCATCACATCACATCACATCACCATCATCATCATCATCATCATCATCATCATCATCACCATCATCATCACCATCATCATCATCATCATTAAAATCATTGCTATTAACATTGTTATCATCATTAATATCATCATTCTGACCAGTTAGTTTTCAGCCTCGTAAAGTAATACAATTTACACGATCGATCCTCCTTGAAATTCGGGATCAAGCTTGCTCTTCAAACACACGTACATACATACATTTTCGTTCAGCAGATCAACATGGGGTCTAGAATGTTATGTCGCTAAACACCGCCTCTGCTTCCTGGTTCTGGCGGCAAGACCTGTCCTGGCTCTGTAACTCTTTTCCTTCTTTTTGTTGTTGTTTTTTCTCTTTTTATTTAGTCTTAGGTTAGCAGGGTTTGGTGTTGTTTAGTCTGTTGTATGAGGGGAATTTGGTAAGTAGTTTAGAGTATTGTATGAGTCGGATTTGGTGAATGATTTGGCATGTTATGTGAGTAAGATTTGATGTTATTTTGTCTATTATAAGAACAGGATTTGATGGTTATATTTGATCCCTAATTTGTCTAACATATAAACAGGATTTGATGTTTTTGTTCTATTATATGAGTAGATTTGATGTTATTTTGTAACAGGATTTGATGGTTTTGTTTATTATATTTGATTTGATCTAACATATAGGAGTGATGTTATTTTGTCTATTTATGCAAGGATTTGATCCTATTGTCTATCGTATAACATGTTATTTTTGTCTATTATATGAGCGGATTTCATGTATTTTGTCTATATATTCAGGATTTGATGTTATTTTGTCTATATAAGAGCAGGATTTGATGCTAATTTGTCTAACATATAAACAGGATTTGATGTTATTTTTGTCTTTATAATAAACAGGATTTGATGTTATTCTGTCTATTATATGAGCAATATTTGTTAAGTAATCTAACCCACCTATGATTAGTATTTTGATAAGTAATCTCCAAGTAAGATGAAGACAAAGAGATATCATTCTCACGTATTTTTAAGAAAATCTCTTTGACGACTCATTAAGGATTCTCATTTTTGACGGGTTTCTATTCATACAAAAAAATGAAAAAAAAAAAAAAAAAAAGCACACACACACGACGATATTGCACTGGTGTGAAAGACCTTACAAGCTATTTACAGGAGACGGGTTTACAGTAGCTTCCGTGTTGCTTGCGAATCCGTGCTTGCTCTCGAAGGCAAGAAAAATGATCCAAGGAGACCTCTCCCAGAAAGCAGAATTAAGCCTTCTTGCTTGTACCCCCCCCTCCCGTATCCATTACCCCCTTCCCTTGGTCGTACCTACCCCTCCCCTTTGCTCCTATCCACTACCCCTCCCCTTGCCGTACCCCTCCCCTTCCCCTTTGCTGCTACCTTCCTTTCGCTCTACCCCTACCCCTTCCCTTTCACTTGCGCGCTACCCCCTACCCCCCCCCCCTTTGCTCTACCCCCCCCCCTTCCCCTCTGCTCTACCCCGACCCCATCCTCCTTGGTCGTACCCCTCGACCCCCAGCCTCCATTATAGCCCATATAGACCCCACGGTGTACTGTAGAAGATCTCTTCGTCGACGTTGTGTCACGTTTACCCGCCTTTCGTTTTTCCTCTGAAGGTTTTCCTCTCTGTCTATCTATGTTTCTCGGCTTTCCTTTCTTTCTATGTTTCTCGGCTTTCCTCTCTGTCTTTCTTAGTTTCTCGGCTTTCCTTTCTGTCTTTCTTAGTTTTTCGTAATTTAATGTAACTCCCTTTGCTATTTCTCTCATTATTTCACTTCGCTCTCTCCTTATCTCTTCGAATTACTGTAAAAGATTTTGTTTTCCCCTGTAACCGTTATCATCTTTACCTCTTTTTCTTCAGCTTTCCTTTGTTTTTGTTTTATCTTTATCTTTACTTTTATCAACTTTATCTCAACCTTTTCATTCTTTGATCTTTATCAACTTTATCTTCATCTTCAATTTTCCTTTGTCTTTTCCATCTTTATCTGTCCTTTTGCCGATTTTGACTTGACCTTTTCCTTTTCCACTTCTTTTCCCTGGGATTCTCTCGAGGGAAAGGGAGATCCCCCTATGACCCCACTTGTTAGTAGGGGTGAATGACATTGCTTCACGTGAGGTCTGGGAGTCAAAACTTCACACCCAGAGTATGTAGGTTAATGAGGTGCTGCGAGAGAGAAAAAAAAATGGAGGGAAGGGGAGGAGAAAGAGAGAGAGAGAGAGAGAGGAAAAAAGAAGTGATAATGATAGGGATTAAGAGAATGGTTACATTATTATTATGGCTGCTGGTGTTGGTGACAGCCTTATTGGTTCTCTTGTTATTGCAGCTTCCTCTGTTTTTGTTTTGTGCTTGTTATGTTTATTTCCACTATTAGCATTATCATTATTATTATTGCTGTTCTTGTTGTTGATATAATCATTTTTATTATTATTATTATTATTATCATCATATATCATTATTATCATTTTTATTATCATTATTATAATTTTTATTATCATTACTTTACCATTATTATTACACATTACTTTTACTACTAATACTACTGCAACTACTATTACTTTTATTACTACTACTACTATTACTATCACTATTACTATTACTATTATTACTACTACAACTACTACTGCTGCTGCTGTTGCTACTACTACTACTATCATTATTATTTGTCATTGTAATCTGTGCACTTATTACCGCTGTTATTACCACTGCTTCTACTTTCATTATTAGTGCTATTATTATTGTTGATAATGGTTATTACTTTTATCATTATCATCACCGTCAGAAATATCCCTTTCCAATATTTTTTTTCTTTTATTTATTATTAACATTCATAGTACTATATAAATAAATAAATACAGAGTATCATATCATATATGTTTGTTTTCATTTAAAAAATAAATTATTTAGAATCAAAATCAATATATATTCAGTTAGGAAACTTAAAATTAGAAGAACGATTATGAGAAATTAGGAGAACTTCCAAATATGACATATCTTGCCGAGAATCTTCATATATAATTATCTCATGTTCACCATCAAGGTCTTATGAATTAGCTGAAGTGATAACCGATCCACATCACCACCCACGCACGCACACACCACTCACACGTAATAGAACACGCACACACCCACACTGAAAAGCACACACGTACGTGGTAAAGCGGACACACACACACACACTCAGACGTAATAGAACACGCACGCACCCACACTGAAAAACACACACGCACGTGATAAAGCACAGACACTAAGAAAAAGACGCACACACAATAAAACACGCACATACCTACAGTAAAAAAAGGACACGACACACACTAAAAAAAGACACACACACACACACACACACACACACACACACACACACACACACACACACACACACACACACACACACACACACACACACACACACACACACACACACACACACACACACACACACACACAGCAGACTGAAGGCATCAGTTTTCCATTCAAGGTAAAGCCATCAGGTCCATTCACGAGTTCCTTGAGCATTCCCCGTGACGTCATGGCAGACACACGTCACAATGTCCGCCTCGTGTATGTTGTTCTTCGTCGAAACATATGCCGTGCGTAAGGGTTTTTATCCTGGGGCTGCGGCATGCGGAAGTACCCCAACATAGCATGTGGCATACCGATGTTGATGACCAGCTTGGGGGCCTGGCGGTGGAGTGGGTTTGAGGTCGTTATAGGGGGGTTGTGGGTGGGTGGGTTGGGGGGTGAGTTGTCTCTTTTTTCAAATTTCGTTTAATTTCTTTGTCTACTTTTATCAGCTTTATCTTTTTATTATGTAGCCGGTAGTACCTCTTTTTCTTCAACTTTCCTTTGTTTTTGTTTCATCTTTACTTTTATCAACTTTTATCTCAACGTTCTCATTCTTTGATCTTTACCAATTTTATCTTAATCTTCAATTTTCCTTTGTCTTTTCCATCTTTACCTGTCCTTTTGCCGCTTTTGACTTGACCTTTTCTTTTTCAACTTTTTTACGTCTTTACCTGTTCCTTTATCAAATTTATCTTTACCTTTTCTCTATCAACTACCCTTCTTTTGGCAATATTATTGTTGATGATGGTTATGATATTACCAATTATGATATAATTTTGTTAATTCATTATCAATTTCATGATTTTATTGCTGTTATTTTTTTTTTTTTTTTTTGGGGGGGGTATTATTATTAATATTTTTTCATGCTGTTTGTGTAATGTTTCCTTTTTGTGTTGACGTTGCTATATTATTGGACTTCCTTTACTTTTTCTTAATTTTTCCTGCTTCCCCTCTCCCTCCTTATTTTTCTTCTTCCTCCACCTCCTCTTCCTCCTTTTTCCTCCTCTTCCTCCTTCTTTTTCCCCCTCCTAACCTCTCGCTTCCCTCTCAATCTAACCTCACCTTCTCCCCACCTACCTTCTCCTACTTCTTCCTTCTTCCTCTTCCTACCTCTTCCTTCTTCCTCTTCCTCCTCGTCCATTCCCTCTTCCAAGGCCTAGAAGATAAGCTCACCTTTGAGTAGGATTTTTATCTGTTATCTCTGCGGTTCCTGTTAAAGCTATGCGGATCTGTGGCGGGCGGCGGCAGTCCCTCCCGCGCCCACGTGGAAGGAGCACGTCTGTTTTGGCGGGCGCTGTTCTTTTGTTATTGCGTTTGGTGTTCTTTTTAGATGTTTTGTTCTTGTTTTTTTTTCTTTTTCTGCTTTTTGTTCTTCTTCTTCTAATTGGATTTGGGTGTTTTTTTGTGTTTTTTTAGTTCTTTCTTTTCTTTTGGAGTTTTTTTTCTCGTTTTTCATTTTCTTTTGTTGGTTTGGGTTTCTTCTTTTTGATAATATTTCTATTTTCTTTTTTTCTTCTGATTATGATTTTTTTCTTGTTTCTTTTTGGGATACCCCCCCCCCCCCTCTAACTTTGTTGTTTTTGGTTCTTTTTCTATTTTTCTGTGATTCAATATTTCCTTTCATTTCCTTCTCTTCTATTTATCTTCATCTCCTTATTAGTATAAGTTATATTTTTCTCTGTGTTTCCGTTTCATAATCATATTTCCCTCGGCAGCCATTCACAACCACAAAATTTACCCGCTTCCGTTCACAACCACAACCCACCCCCTTTCAACCATTCACAACCACTAAAATTAACCACAATATATTTTTCCTTTTTTTTAATGTCTTATTTATTCCCCCACAGGCTGCGTTGGCCAAAGAACCTGAAGTTCGACCGTGGGGCGGATGGCGGCGCTGGTGGGAACAGGTTAGTCTTTTGTTTACACTCATGGCGGAGAATTTTTGGCGGGAAAATAAGATGGGAAAATATGGCGGCTTTTTTTTCGTTTTTTTTTTTGTGTGTGTGTGTGTTTTGTGGATTTCATTTTTTTTTTCTTTTTTTCTTTTCTTTTCTGCTTTGTCTTGCTTAGGTTTGTTTTATTGATGTTATTGGGATTTTCTTTAGTTTTTTTAAGCATAGATTTTGTCTCTGCCTTTCAGTTGTTTTATTTTTCTTTATCCTTTCTTTTATTTCTAGATTCCTTTTCCTTTTCTTCGTCTCTTTTCCCATATTTTCTTCGTTTTTCTTTTTTTCATATAATCGATTTCTTTTTCTTACTCTTCGTCCTCTTCGCCCTCTTTCTTTGCCTCCTACTGCCTCCTTCCTCCTCTTTCTTCTTATTCTTCTTCCTCTTCCTCCTTTTTCCTCATATTCCTCATCATCCCCTTCTCCCTTCTCTTCCCTTCTTTACCCTACTTCCTCTTCCTTATTTTCGTTTCCTCCAACTGTCCCTTCTTCGTCTTTTCTTCCTCTTTATATTTATTTCTCTTCCTCATTTTCCTCCACTTTTACCTCCTTTTCGTCCTCCTCGTCCTCTGCCTCTTCCTTTTCCTTTTCTCTTCCCCTTCTCCTACTCCTTCTCCTCCTCTTCCCTTTCTCTTTCCTTCCCCTTTTCTCCTCCTCCTCCTCCTTCTTCTTCTTCCTCTTCTCCTTCCCCTCTTACTCCTCCTCCTCTTCTCCTCTTCTCCTCCTCCTCCTCCTCCCCTCCTCCTCCTCCTCCTCCTCCTCCTCCTCCTCCTCTCCTCCTCTCCTCCTCCTCTCTCCCTCCTCCTCCTCCTCTCCTCTTCTTCCACTCCCCTTCCCTTCTTCCTCCTATTCCTCTTTCACTTCTTCCTCTTCCTCTTTCCTCTCCATGTCAGGATCTGCTATCTCTATTCCACATAATTTCGCAACTCTGCAGATTTGAGTTGTATGTGGGCTCTCATTCACGCTCTGCTTCTCAATGAAAGTGTGTGTGTGTGTGTGTGTGTGTGTGTGTGTGTGTGTGTGTGTGTGTGTGTGTGTGTGTGTGTGTGTGTGTGGTGTGTGTGTGTGTGTGTGTGTGTGCTGTGTGTGGTGTGTGTGTGTGTGTGTGTGTGTGTGTGTGTGTGTGTGTGTGTGTGTGTGTGTGTGTGTGTGTGTGTGTGCGTGTGTGTGTGTGTGTGTGTGTGTTGTGTGTGTGTCTTTTTCTTGCTTTTTTTTTTTCATTTTCCTTATCCACCTTTTTTTTCTCTCTTTTCCTTTACCATCATTCTCCAACTTTCCCTCTCCTCGACACCTTCACCTTCTCCACCACCTCCTACACTTACCTCCACCACCCCTTTCTCCACCTCTTCTCCCTCCTCCCCACCACTTCTCTCCACCACTACCTTCTCCACCATCACCACCTTCCTCCACCTCTTCTCCCTCCACCTTCACACGTCCTCTCCCTCCCCCCCCCACTCCCCTCCTCCCCACCACTCTCCTCCCTCCACCCCCCTCCCCACCACCTTCCCTCCCTCCCTCCCTCCCCTCCCCCACCACCTCTCTCCCCTCCTCCCCTTCCCTCCCTCCCCTCCCCACCCACCTTTTCCCCCGCCTTTCCCCCTCCCCTCTCCCTCCCTCCCTCCCTTCCCTCCCTCCAACCTTCCCTCTCCCTCCCCCATGTCTGTCAACGGAACCTGAACAGATCCTTCAGCGACTCCCACGTTGCGCAATCTGTCGCTCATGACCAAATCCTCTCTCTCTCGGCCCCGCCATGCAAGGTCACGTGACTGGCCCGGCGTCACCTAGGCCAGACTCGATACTTTTTGCCTTTTTTTTTAAACTTTATTACTTTTTTTGAATTGGTTATGCAGTGACGCCGCGATGGTTATCTGGCGCCGGTGCTCACGCGTTTTGAGCGGTTAACTTAAGCGCGCACACGAACTCGAGCATTTACACGTAGGCGAGGACATGTAGGCACGGGTACTCATACACGCACGCGTACATGTACACAAACATGTGCACGCACAGGAACACGTACCTGTATAAGTACACACATACACACGCGCGCGCGTGTATTCACACACACACACACACACACACACACACACACACACACACACACACACACACACACACACACACACACACACACACACACACACACACAAACAACAAACAAACAAACTCACAACACACACAAACAAACTAACACATGAACAAAAAACAAAATTCTCTCTCCCTCTCTCCCTCCTCTCCCTCCTCTCTCCTCCTCCCTCCTCCCTCCCTCCCTTTTTCCTCCCTCCCTCCCTCCCTCCCCCCAATTTAATACATCCAAAAAAGAATAAAGACACGAAACACAGTAATAGAAATGGGATAGACGCAAAATAACCCAAATTTAAAGGGATGCGGGTGGTCTTAGGGGGGGGGGGGGAGGGGAGGAAGGTGGGGGTGGGGGGGAGAGGCAATGTTTTCCTATGTCGATTCTGTCACAGGAATCTGCTGCGCGTTCAAAGGTCTTTCACCCTCTAAATAAAACTTTTTTTTTTTTTTTTTGGGGGGGGGTTCACTATGGGGTTGCCAGGTGAATTTTTTATTTTTTTTTTTTTTTGGGGGGGGGGTTATTCACTACGGGGTTGCCAGGTGAAGATTTTTTTTTTGGGGGGGGGGGGGGTATTCACTACGGGTTGCCAGGTGAAGATTTTTTTTTTTTGGGGGGGGGGGTATTCACTACGGGGTTGCCAGGGAATATTTTTTTTTTTTTTGGGGGGGGTATTCACTACGGGGGTTGCCAGGTGAAGATTTTTTTTTTTTTTTTTTTTGGGGGGGGTTATTCACTACGGGTTGCCAGGTGAAGAGCGTATCCTGAGCCAGAACATAACGAATTCATATAGTTAAAGAAAAGAAAAAATAGAAAAAGGAAACTGCATTCTTTTCTCTTTCTCCCATGTCAAAAAAAAAAAAAAAAAAAAAAACAAAGAGGCAAAAGTATTAATAAGTAATTGAAAAATAATATATTAAATGTATGCATAAACAAATGAAATAGATAAATGAATAAGCAGTATATACATTATAGGTAAAAAAAAATAAAAAAAATGAAAATAAATATAAATAAAATAAAAAAACACTATAAAGACAAAATAACCGACAATGAACCTAACCTGTAGATGTCATAAGTGTGCATTTATGTGTATATATGTGAATTAATTAATAAAACTTTAAAGTGCCAGCAAATAGAGCTTTTTGCTCTCTCTCTCTCTTCTCTCTCTCTCTCTCTCTCTCTCTCTCTCTCCTCTCTCTCTCTCTCTCTCTCTCTCTCTCTCTCTTCTCTTCTCTATCTATCTATCTCTCTCTCCCTCTTTCTCTCTCTATCTCTCTCCCTCTCCCCCCCCTCCCTTTCTTTCTCACTGGTTCAATCAGTACCACCATATATGTCACATTTTTTTTCTCTTTACTCCTCCATACTCATTCTTCCCCTAAATAAACGATATAAATCTGAACCTGAACCTGAATCTGAACCTGAACCTGAATTTGAACCTGAACCTGAGACGTCCTTCCCGCAGCCATATATGTATCATTTTTTCACTTTTTACTCCTCCGTACTCCTTCTTTCCCTAAATAAACGGTATAAACCTGAACCTGAACCTGAATCTGAACCTGAATTTGAACCTGAATCTGAACCTGAGACGTCCTTACCGCAGCCATATACGTATCATTTTTTCACATTTTTTTTTTCACTTTTTACTCCTCTATACTCTTTCTTTCCCTAAATAAACCATATAAACCTGAATCTGAACCTGAATTTGAACCTGAACCTGAACCTGAACCTGAACCTGAATTTGAACCTGAACCTGAGACCTTCTTCCCGCAGCCCAACGAAATCAACGGACCCACAGAAGGCAGGAGTCATCGGCCTCATCACGGGGCCCACTACCTCACCGTCGCTCCAGGTAAGGCTCTTTGGCATCTCTGGGCTCTTTGGCGCGCTCTTTGGCTCTCTGGCTCTGGCTCTCTCTGGCTCTTTGGCGCTCTGGTTCTTTGGCTCTCTGGCGCTTTGGCTCTTTGGCGCTCTGGCTCTTTGGTTCTCTGGCGCTCTGGTTCTCTGGCTCTTTGGCGCTCTGGCTCTTTGGCACTCTGGCTCTTTGGCTCTCTGCTCTTTTGCGCCTCTGGCTCTTTGGCGCTCTGGTTCTCTGGTCTTTTGGCTCTCTTGGCTTTGGCTCTTTGGCGCTCTGGTTTCTCTGGGCGCTCTGGCTCTTTTGGCACTCTGGCTCTTTTGGCTCTCTGGCTCTTTGGCTCTCTGGCTCTTTTGGCGCTCTGGCGCTCTGGGCTTCTGTTCTCTGCTCTTTTGGCTCTCTGGCTCTTTGGCGCTCTGGCTCTTTGGCGCTCTGGCTCTTTGGCTCTCTGGCTCTTTGGCGCTCTGGCTCTTTGGCTCTGGTCTCTGGCTCTTTGGCGCTCTGGCTCTCTGCTCTTTGCGCTCTGGCTCTTTGGCTTCTTTGGCTCTGGCTGGCTCTTTGGCGCTCTGGCTCTTTGCTCTTCTGGCTCTTTGGCTCTTGGGCTCTCTCTTGCTCTCTGGCTCTTTGGCTCTCTGCTTTGGCTCTGGGCTCTTCTCTTGGCTCTCTGGCGCTCTGGCTCTCTGGCTCTTTGGCTTTCTGGCGCTCTGGCTCTCTGGCGCTCTGGCTCTCTGGCTCTCGGTCTTGGGGGTTAGTCCTTCTCTTGTTTGTTTGTTTGTTTTTGATTTCTTTCTCTCTGTGTTTTTTGTTTTTATTTTCTTTTTTTCTGTTTCTGTTTTTTTGTTGTTTTTCATTTCTATTTGTTTTTTCTGTCTCTGTTTTTGTTATTTTATATTTTGTGTTTTTTTCTGTCTCTGTTTTAGTTTTTCTGTTTGTTTTCCTCTTTCTCTGTTTTCGTTATTTCTATCTTCTGTTTGTTTCTTCTCTCTTTGATTCATTATTTTATCTTCTATTTATATCTTAGTTTTCTCTCACTTAAGGTCCTTACTTACGGGGGGGTCCCAATTATGGTATTATTATAGAGCCCTTTACCGAAAGCCCTACTTAGGGGCCCTCGCACCCATAGCCCTATTTAGGTGTTCTCCCACCCTAGCCTTATTTAAGGGCCTTCCCTCCCTAGCTTAATTTAAGAGCCCTCCCCCTTTAACCCTTATTTAAGGGCCCTCTCACCCAACCCTTATTTAAGAGTCCTCCCATCCTAGCCTGATTTAAGGGCCCTCCAATCCAACCCTTATTTAAGAGCCCTCCCACCCTAGCCTAATTCAAGCCCCCCCCCCATCCTAGCCTTATTTAATGGCCCTCCCACCCAATCCATATCTAAGGACCCTCCCATCCTAGCCTTATTTAAGGGCCCTCCCACCCTAGCCTGCCCTCCCACCCAATCCATATTTAAGGGCCCTCCCTTTCTAGCCTGATTTAAGGGCCCTCCAATCCTAACCTTACTTAAGCGCCCTCCCACCCAAAAACCCACAGAATTACACAGACTTCCCCCCCCTGCCTCCCCCCCCGCAGAGTCCGGCAGCAAGTCCCGGGCGGTGCTGGACGGCGGGTCGGGTTCCGGCGCCTCCCGCGTGAGCAGCAGTGTCCCCGGCGACCTGGCTGACCTGCAGGGCGGCCTGTACTCGCAGTGGACGAAGTGGTCGCGTTGCTCCCGCCGCTGCAGGCAGAGACGGCAGAGGTCGTGTCGGGTTCCGGCCGTGTGCGGCACCGCGCTCCTCAAGGTAGTGGGCGGGAGTGGGCGGAGTGGGGTGTGTTGCTGATATGAGTTTTATTGGTATTTTATTTTATTTTTATTTTCTCTCTCCGTACAAACACGTACAAATACAGACATACACTCACTCACACGCACGCACGACGCGCGCGCGCACGCACACACACACACACACACACACACACACACACCACACATCCACCACCACCACAAACCAACACCCACACACCCAAACCCCAAAACCCCCAACCCATCCTCCTCTCACCCCCACCCCCAATAACCCTCCCGACCTCCACCTCACCCCCATCCTCCCTCACCCCCGCACCCTTAACCTCCCCACCCTCAACCCCAACCCCATCCCCAATAACCCACCCCAACCCCCACCCCACCCCCACCCCCAAACCCCAAACCCTCAAGCTAACCACCCCCTCCTCCGGCCCCTTCAGGAGGAAGAGGAGCTGCCGCGGCGGAGGTGCTCTGGCCGCCGCCCCTTCCACATCATCAAACCCGAGGAATTCACCCGACAGCCTCCGAGGAACGACATGAGGGTGCTGCTCAACTTCAACTCAATGTTCTACACGAGGTGGTCCCGCTGGTCGGCCTGCAGCAGGTCGTGTCTGACCAGGAGATACAGGTCGGTGCTTCTGAAGTGGAGGCCTGGGATATATGGTGTGTGTGTGTGTGTGGTGTGTGTGTGTGTGTGTGCGTGTGTGTGTGTGTGTGGTGTGTGTGTGTGTGTGTGTGTGTGTGTGTGTGTGTGTGTGTGTGTGTGTGTGGTGTGTGTGTGGTGTTGTGTGTGCGTATGTGTGTATGTATGTGTGTATGTGTGTATAATTATAATTAGATAGTTATCCCATGCATGTACGCAGTATATAATTATATATAGAATATTGATGAATGCCCTTAAGCACAAATATATTTAGGGTCGTAATCCCTTGAGATCCCCCAGTATTTTCAGGTTTGATGGAAAGTTATACATTACAAAAATAAAACATCGATCTGTCTATTTATATTTAGAATACTTAAAATTACAACTAAAAAAAAATCATAATAATAACGGACATTTCTCGACTATGAAATGCATCTTTTGAGAAAAAAAATAATTAAAAAATTATAGTATTTCAACATTTGATTTAGTATATTTCATATCTTGCCTTACCTAACCTAATCTAACCTGACCTGACCTAACCTGACCTAAGCTAGCCTAGCCTAGCCTAGACTAGCCTAACCTAACCTAACCTAACCTAAACCTAACCTAACCTAACCTAACCTAACCTAACCTAACCTAACCTAACCTAAAACCTAACCTGACCTAGCCTAAGCCTAGCCTAGCCTAGCCTAGCCTAGCCTAGCCTAGCCTAGCCTAGCTTAGCCTAACCTAACCTAGCCTAGCCTAGCCTAGCCTAGCCTAACCTAACCTAACCTAACCTAGCCTAGCCTAGCCTAACCTAACCTAACCTAACCTAGCCTAGCCTAGCTTAGCCTAGCCTAACCTAACCTAACCTAACCTAGCCTAGCCTAGCCTAGCCCTAGCCTAGCCTACCTAATACCTAGCCTAGCCTAGCCTAGCCTAGCCTAGCCTACCTAGCCTACCTAAGCCTAGCCTAGCCTAGCCTAGCCTAGCCTAGCCTAGCCTAGCCTAGCCTAGCCTAACCTAACCTAACCTAGCCTAGCTTAAGCCTACCTAACCTAACCCTAACCTAGCCTAGCCTAGCCTAGGCCTAGACCTAACCCTAACCTAACCTAGCCTAGCCTACCTAGTAACCTAACCTAGCCTAGCCTAGCCTAGCCTAGCCTAGCCTAGCCTAACCTAACCTTAGCCTAGGCCTAACCTAACCTAACCTAACCTAACCTAACCTACTAGCCTAACCTAACCTCCTAACCTAGCCTAGCCTAGCCTAGCCTAGCCTAGCCTAACCTAACCTAAGCCTAGCCTAAACCTACCTAGCCTTAGCCTAGCCTAGCCTACCTAACCTAACCTAACCTAATACCTAACCCTAACCAACCTAATAATGATATAATAATAATATAATAATATTGATAATAATAATAATTATGATTGATAATAATAATGAGATGATAATAATGATGATATAATAATAATTATAATAATAATTATAATAATAATGATAATAACAATAATGATAATAATAATGATGATATTAATAACAGTAATAATAACAACAAAATAATAATAATAGTTGATAATGATAATAATGCTAACAACCAACATAATAATAACAACAACAACAACAACAACACAACAACACAACAAACAACAACAACAACAACAACAACAACAAAACCCCTTTCTCTTCACACACACCCCCCCTTCCCTCAGATCCTGCAAATACCCCTTGTTCTGGGCGGGAAGCGTGGTCAATCGAGGAGGCCTATTGCTAGTCGAGGGGTTCCCTGTGCGAGAAGTGGTATCGGAGGAGCCGGTACCACCCCAGGAAGCACCAGACGACCGGGAGTAACGGTGGAGAGAGGAGAGGTGAGGAGTGTGGGAAAGGGAAGGGGGGGGGAGAGGGGGATGGGGAGGGGGAGAGGGGGAGGGAGGGAGGGAGAGGGAGAAGAGAACCACCCCAGGAAGCACCAGACGACCGGGAGTAACGGTGAGAGAGGGAGAGGGAGGAGGTGAGAGGGAGGGAGAGGGATGGGGGTGGGATAGAGAGGGAGGGGTGAGGGGGAGGGAGAGGGAGAGAGAGAACCACCCCAGGAAGCACCAGACGGGGGAAGTAACGGTGAGAGAGGAGGAGGGGAGGGAGGGGGAGAGGTGGATGGGAGGAGAATGGGGTAGGGGTGGGAGGGGGAGGAGGGAGGGAAGAGGGAGAGAAGAGAAACCACCCCAGGAAGCACCCAGACGACCGGGAGTAACGGTGAGAGAGAGGGAGAGGGAGAGGGGTGAGGAAGGAGAGGGAGGGAGGGAGGGAAAGAGAGGGAGGGGGTGGGGGTGAGGAGGGAGGGGTAGGGGAGGGAGAGGGGGATAGGGAAGAGGGGAGGAGGGAGAGGGGGAGCGGGTGGGAGAGGGGGAGCGGGTGGGATGGGGGGAGGAGGGAGGGAGAGGGGGAGGGGGTGGGAGGGAGGGAGAGGAAGGAGGGGGGAGAAGGGAGAGGGAGAGAGGGATGGGAGAGGGGAGGGGGAGAGGGGTGTGGGGATGGGAGGGGGAGGGTGAGGGAGAGAGAGGACCCCCCAGGAGCACCAGACGAGCGGGGAAGTAACGGTTGAGAGAGAGAGTGGGGGGATGGCGATGGGGTGAGGTGGGATAGAGAGGGAGGGGGAGAGAGAGGGAGAGGATGAGGGGAGGAGGGGAAAGGGAGGTGAGGGAGAGGGAGGGAGAGTGGATGGGGAGAGGGAGGGGGAAGGGAGGGAAAGGGAGGAAGGGTAGGGGATAGGGAGAGGGGGGGGGAGGGAGAGGAAAGAGAAGGGGAAGAGAGAGAGAGAGGAAGAGAGGAGAGAGGAGAAGCGAGAGAGAGAGATGAGAGGGAGAGAGAGAGAAGAGAGAGAGAAGAGAGAAGAAGAGAAGAGAGGAGAGAGAGAGACGAGAGAGAGTAAGAGAGAGGTGATATAAGTTTTTTTTAATTGGTTTGTTATTAGGTGTTGTATTTGTTATCTTTTTTTGTTTTTTTTTTTAATGTTGTATTTGTTTATCTTATTGTTTTTTGTATGTGTTAAGCTATTTTTTTTAGAATTCGTTTGTTTTATTTTGTTTTTGTTATTTAGTTGTTTGTTTATTGTTTGTTTTCGTTTTTTTTGTTTCATTTTTTATCTTTTTATTTCATTTCATTTGTTTATTTTTTATTTTTTTGTTTTCGATTTCTGTCATTTAATTTAATTTTCTACTCATTTTCTATTAAATTTATTATTATTATTATTATTATTGTTATTATTATATTTATCATCATCATTTTATTTTATTTGTATTTTTTCTTTATTTTTTGTATTCAATTTATCATTTTAAATTTCATTTTCTACTCATTTCCTATTAAATTATATATTATATTATATTGTTATT